ACCCACATGGGAGACCTAAAAGAAAGAGGCTCCTGGCTCCTGGCTTTGGATCAGCCCAGCTCCAGACGTAATAGCTATCTGGGGAGTGAACCAGCAGATGGAAGACCTTTCTGTCTCTCCCTCTCCCTCTCCCTCTCCCTCTCCCTCTCCCTCTCCCTCTCCCTCTCTCTCTCTCTCTCTCTGTAACACTACTTTTCAAATAAATAAATAAAATCTTTTGAAAAAACTAAAAGAAAATGGAGATGCAGAATCCATTTAAGAAGCTTCCCTTAAAAGAGCACAACTGTCCCATGAAAGTTGGCTAGCTTTCTGTCTCTTTCTTATTTCATTGTCCTTTGATGTCCTAAAAAGTGATTTCTCTTTTTATCTTCAGTGCTGCTGCTTCCTAATTCTTCTCTTGTTTGCCTTTTTCCTTTACTGGAAAGGGTAAGGGTTTTAAAGCTGCCAGTAAAAAAAAAATATGAACTCAGAAAACCAACATTCTGTAAATAAAGCTGAATCTCATGGAACAGCAAAAAAGAAAAAAAAACTTACTGGAGCCAGGAAAATTCCTCAAAGAGACAAAATGCCTAGCCATTTTAAAAAGAGTTAGAGAAAGGATAAGCAAGGACAGAGAGAGGAGGAGGCAGAATTAGAAGGAAAATATAATAATTTTATTTTATCCTGTGCCATTATTTTAATCACAGAAGTACTATACGAAGGCAATAACTGTTTTGATACATGGATTTTTGAAGAGTTCATGAAAAACAGAATTAAAAGAGAGTTTATTATGGTGTGAAAAATTTGAAATCCATGTATCTGAAGATCTTCAAAAAGTTCATGGAAAATGTATATTATGATAAAATTATATGTGGATTTCAAAACTAATTTTTTTTACCCAAATAAACTTATCTTTTAATTACATCTTCCATGAACATTTTGAAGCATCCTCATATATCCTCCACAAACGTACTTTTCTGAGAAGGATCCCCTCACAGTAATTTCTGGCAGCTCTGCCAATCTTTCCCCTCCATCCTCTGAATTCAGAAGGATTTGAGTTTGTCATCAGTGCTCTTCTCAATGTTCTGCAAACAAAGATGTTCCTGAGTTCACCCAAAAAATCAGCCTGATGAGAATACATGTACTTAGGCTTCTCTAAGGCCAGTAGGTATCTAAAGAAAATTTTAAATAAGAGAAGCCACTAATTAAGTCTGTGTACTCTCTTGATACATGAGAGCAGGACCCATATCTTCATTTTTCTCGACTATATTTCCAGCCTAGAATTGGCACATAGTAGATACTTCATACATTTTTGGGATAGATGAATGAAGGGTTGATGAATGGATGGAAGGAAGGAAGGAAGGAAGGCCTCTAAATTCTCACTCATATTAATTATTGTTATGAATAATATATGGAGGTATTTCACAAAGTTTATGAAAGAATGGAATGAAAACATAAGTTTATTTTGGTGTAAAGAATTCAGAAATCCATATACTTTTTTTTCATACGATGCATTCCTAGGCCGGCGCCGTGGCTCACTAGGCTAATCCTCCGCCTTGCGGCGCCGGCACACCGGGTTCTAGTCCCGGTAGGGGCGCTGGATTCTGTCCTGGTTGCCCCTCTTCCAGGCCAGCTCTCTGCTGTAGCCAGGGAGTGCAGTGGAGGATGGCCCAAGTCCTTGGGCCCTGCACCCCATGGGAGACCAGGAGAAGTACCTGGCTCCTGCCATCGGATCAGTGCGGTGCGCCGGCCGCAGCGCGCCAGCCGTGGCGGCCACTGGAGGGTGAACCAACGGCAAAAGGAAGACCTTTCTCTCTGTCTCTCTCTCTCTCACTGTCCACTCTGCCTGTCAAAAAAATAAAATAAAATAAAAAATAAAAAAATTTCTAAAAAAAAAAAAGATGCATTCCTTAAAAACTTTTTGAAGACCTCTTGTACGCACAGATTTCAAAAATTTTTGCACCAAAATAAACTTAGCTTTTAATTACATTTTCTATGAATGTTATGAAAGACTCTTATATAGATGTGATTTATAGAAGAACCCAGGAAGAGAGAGCAGTGGAAAGGGAAGATGGAGACTGGGCAAAGGTAGCTCCCAAAACAAAGTGGTAGCTTAACAAAAACCAAGATTGAAGAAAGCAATCCTTAAAAAGCTTATGAAATCCAATGAAGCAGTAATAAAAACTATACTTACAATAAAAGCTAAAATTGTTAAATTTTAAAAAAAAGTCTAATATTTCAAGTTTGCAAGTGTGTAAAAATAAACAATTACTATGTCAGAAGACTGGAAGGGCACAGTTGCCAATTTGACCTCGGGGTAAGAGGAGACACAGGGAACCTGGTAGATAAAGACTAATTTAATTTGCCTGAGGTGAAGGATAGACCAATTCAATTACTCTGATCTGATCATCATGCATTGTATACATATGTTGATTTTACACTGTACCCATGAATATGTACAATTAATTAAAAACTGAAGAATATTTAAAGTCATATTAGTAGCTGGAAACGGTAAGAAGATTCTCTTTAAGTCTAGACATGGGCCAGCGCCGCGGCTCACTAGGCTAATCCTCTGCCTTGCGGCGCTGGCACACCGGGTTCTAGTCCCAGTCGGGGCGCCGGATTCTGTCCCGGTTGCCCCTCTTCCAGGCCAGCTCTCTGCTGTGGCCTGGGAGTACAGTGGAGGATGGCCCAAGTACTTGGGCCCTGCACCCATGGGAGACCAGGAGAAGTACCTGGCTCCTGCCATTGGATCAGTGCGGTGCGTCGGCCGCAGTGTGCTGGCCGCGGCAGCCATTGGAGGGTGAACCAACGGCAAAAGGAGGACCTTTCTCTCTGTCTCTCTCTCTCACTGTCCACTTTGCCTGTCAAAAAATAAAAAATAAATAAATAAATAAAAATAAAATAAATCTAGACATGGATGAGGACATGAGTAGCCTACTCATTTTAAGTGAAACACTGACACTACATTGTCTGATATAATGCTACTTGGGGTTTTGTGACAAAACTGAATACATATATAACACTTCTCTATGCCTTGCTTGTTACCCCAAAACCATGCAATGGAGTAAGTCAGCTCTTGTACCTCTTAATTTAGTTTTATTTTATTTTTAATCACATGTTAAATTTTCCAGAGATAGGTAATTTTTAAAAACTATTTACTTTTTTGAGAGGTGGAAAGAACTCCACACACTGGTTCACTTCCTGAAGTTGGGCACTAGGAACTCAATGCCAGTCTCCCATGTGGTGGCAGCAGCTCAACTACTTGAACCATCACCTCTGTCTCCCAGCATCTACTCTAACAGTTAGCTAGAGTCAGGAGTTAAAAGCAGATATAGAACCCAGGCACTCTAATATGCGACACAGGCATCCTAACTGCTAGGTCAAAAGCATTTTAAATTATATATCAATAATGTAATGATCTGTGGGATTCAGCTAGGAAAGGAACACCAACGCCAACACGGACAGCATATTTGTGACGTGAAGAGGGAAATTATCAGTAGAAATTATTATTTGAATTTATCAGGGAAGAACACAAACTGTTCCCTTTTTGAGGTGTTTTTATTTAAGATTTTTATCACAGAGAATCTATTAACATGAAAAATTTTGAAGTATAGCCTTGAATTTAATTGGCTCTTCAGAGTTCATTAATCTCTCAGATTATAAGGCAGCTATTTCCTTTAGCAGGGAATCCTTTAGTATTTATAAAAGCTCTCCACCAGTGGGAGGTGTAAACAAAACTTCATGCCTATAAAAGACAGAAAGAAGGAAGCACAAGGCTCTACCTCGTTGTTCATCCCTGCTCCTTGAAATAATCAGTACGGAAATGCACTCCCCTCACCACCAGCCAGCCCTTTTGCTGCTGCATCCAGGTAAAAAGTTCTGAAGGTGTAGCTCTTCTCCAACTTGATGCTCTAAGCTCAAGTCTGTCTGCCATGAAAACTCTGGTGCCCAAAGGACAGAGACCTATCCAGTAGAAACAAAATTTTCATTGCCCCTAAGAAGGAAGGACTGGGAGAGACAGAGAGAGCACTTTGCTACATGATAACCAGGCACAGCAAACTGAAATCTCCTTGTAAGACAACAAAAAGTCCTCTGGGCTTCAAGGTGTAGTAGAAGTGCAAGTTTGCAAAAGCCTGTGTTGGAGGATGCAAAACAGCAAATGAACCGAACTGAGCTGTTTCTTACCTCCTCGGGGTACGCCTTGCTTGTCTGTCAATTCCCCACAGAACTGAACACAGTACCTTGCATCGCATTTGCTGCTAACTAAAAACCTGCTGACAATGCCTTTGGAAAATGAGAAATGAGTACCCTCTTTCTTACCCATGCTGCCCTTTTGATCAATGATAACAGCATAAGAGCATATTATTGCACAGATTTGGACTAACATCACAAAACTGAATGGGAGGTTATAATGGAAGCAGTGATAGAAATAATTCATGGGGTCCCCAGAATACCTCCACTTTGCTGAGCCCATGGGAAAATGCAAAAGGGGCATTTTCATCAAGCAAATGCCTGCTTGGTCTAGGATTGAGAGGTCAGCCCTTCTGCAAAGATGTCTAAATAACAGCCAGCACCGGAAGTGAATGTTTCTCCCCTAGAACCTTCCATCCATCATCAGAGGAGCAAGCAGAACACTATGGCTTTGTCTGTGGACCAAACCCAAAAGACTCATGGTCAGGGCCACGAGGGTAGATCAGAGAAAGAATTAGATTGGCAAACACAGGTTTGTGGCAACTCCCTCTCTGTGGACTGGGCCCAGGTCTGGCTCGGAACACAGGGCAGCCACAACTTAGGGCAGCATCCTGTTGTAGCACAGGCAGGTCGAAGAGTCAGGGAGAACTGCCCAGCCAGAGTCGATCCTATCTGGAAGGAATGAATATTTGGGAGAATTCCCAGTGCTCATTGCGTGCCAACCCGCCCCCACCTTCTCCAGCCCCCTCCTAGTGGCTCCTCCCCTTCCAGCTGCTCTGGCTCTTATAAAAACCCCACAGCTTTTCACTAACAGCCTGTAGGAGCCTCTCTCCCACTGCTGCTGCAGGAGACACTGCCACCCACCCAGAGGACAAGCAAGAGATCATGAGGAGCCTGCTTCTTCTCACTGTTCTGGCTGCCTTGGTGGTAGCAATTCTGTGTTATGGTGAGAGATCTTTCTCCCTGCCCTTCCTCTCAGTTTCTGTGTTTGCCTCTGACTTCCTTTTACTTGCATTTCCCCTCCTCTTTCCACCTCATCTTACCCCTTTCCCTCTTAAAATCTTAGAGTACCATGGATTTCACTTATCCCAGGGTCCATGAACACTGATCTGTCCAAGTCTTTTTCATATTCTAAGTATTCAGAATCTTGGATACAACTCAACAGGCAAGTCTTTCAGTGGTAAGTCTCTATATGCCTAGAAACTTAGATATTGCAGAAAGAAGACCTCAAATTCCCAGCCTCTGCATTCCAATTTATAAGAATGTTTACTTAGACTTTGGTAAATGCATTAAGAATGTTGGCTAAATCACTTACATTTAATAAAACTAGTTTTCATGTGAAGTTTTAATATTCACCCTTTCTAGGGACAGGATGACATCATGTACTTACTACATCTGTTCCATGAATTCATTTTAAAATGAAATTTTACATTAAATAACTTTAGGAAAAATTATTTCATAACTTCTATTGTCAAAAAGAAATTTTACCTGACTTCCATCTGTTGATCAATAGATCTGTGTTTCTTCAAAGTTTATAAAGGGAAATTTAAAACAAAATTGTTTACATAATTCAACATTGCACTTCAATTACCTGAATACGTTAGCTGTATTTGAGCCTAAATTACGTTAACAATCTGAGTATTCTATTCCGCTTCCCACACTTCAAATTATTCACAAGTTTTCTGTGTTAGAGAATCTTAACTTTTCAAGCAAATTCATTTGCTAACAAATTCCCAAATTTACCTGCAGTGCTCGGGAGAGTGATGCAAAGAAGAAAACTTGTGCCTTGCTGTCCTTCCAGCTCCTTCTCGGAACTGGTATAGTGCCCAGCATGAGCTGTCAGCTGGAGCCAGTGGTTTCTGTGGCTTTCAAGACGACACCAGTTTTTAAGAGGCTTTTGGGCCCCTCTTGGAAACCCGTCCTGGTGAACTGCTTCAGGGCAGTTGCTCTCCTGCCTGGAGGAGCTTGGTCTGTCTATCACCTCCTATGGCTTCCTCCACTGTGCTCTCAAACAGGCCTGAATACATCCAAAAACAGGCTGTCTGGGGACTTCTGTGAAGCACTGAAAATGTCACTTCTCTCATCTGAAACCCTCATAGCCCTTGGGAAATTCTAGCCAAGGCTAGCAGTTACCTTCCCCATCAGATAAAATGTAGAGACATCCATAGTAAGGCAAGAGCTATAATAAAGGCTCATAAATCCCACATTCCTAAAAATTTTAATAGCCACATTGCTAAATATATTCATCCTATCTATTTAACACTTTCCTTTATCTCTACCCCTACATTTAGACTGTTGCATTGTATGATAAATGACAATATAATGAATCTTTTTAATTCCAGAATCTCACGAAAGCATGGAATCCTATGAAATTAGTAAGTGAATATCTGAATTTCTTATTTAAATCTCTTGTATTAAAGAATTCCTATTTCTTTAAAAAAAAAGATTTATTTATTTATTTGAAAGACAGAGTTACATAGAGGCAGAGGCAGAAAGAGAGAGCTCTTCCACCTGCTAGTTCACTCCCCAGATGGCTGCCAACGGCCGGAGCCGCGCAGATCCAAAGCCAGGAGCCAGGAGCTTCCTCCGGGTCTCTGATGCAGGTGTAGAGACCCAAGAAATGTGCCATCCTCTACTGCTTTCCCAGGCCATAGCAGAGAGCTAGATCAGAAGTGGAGCAGCTGGGACTCGAACTGGCACCTATATGGGATGCCAGCACTGCAGGAAGTGGCTTTATCCACTACGCCACAGCACCAGCCCCTCTCACTATTTCTAAAGAATCAAAATGGTAGAATTATATAACAGAGAGGAAAATGAGGGCCTCTTTGGGAAAACCAAACAGAATTTTAAATCCAGTGACTATAAAAATCACCAAGTGAACAACTTTTAAAGTTTGGAGTAGTGTGATTTGACATTTAAGCTGCATTCAACAGACTCAGAAGCCATAAAATCTCATTTGGAAATTTTACGTTGGCCCCACATCAACCACACAGATGGAATACGAGCAGTAATGACAAATGGCAAAGCACAGGATCTAAGGCCAAGTCAGCCAGGAGACCACAGGCGTTGGCATTAAGTTGAATATCTGGATTTATGAAGCCGGAATATAGCAGGAAATAGCATATCCCTCCGAGTTTTTATTTATTCATTATTTTTACAAGGTTTAAACTGTTCATTTACTGGAAACCTATAGTTATACTTTTTAAGACCTTAGGACAGAGAGAGTTTCTCCTCAAATACACACAAGCAGAAATTCCAAAAAGGAAAAGCAAAATAATTGCCCAAAGGCAAAGAAACAAACCAAAACTGCAGCAGCCTATGTGACAAGGCTGTGAGACACTCACTATTGGTAACTTTTGATCAGGATTTTTGTGAAATACGTTCCTCTTTAATGTTTGCCATCTCTGGTTACATGAAAAGCATAGATTAATGAGCTTCCAAATACATATGTGTCAGAGAATATTCATGAAAATCTTTTCAGGTCTTGTTTCACTAAAACTGTATTTTTTTTATTTTGTTTGAAGATCCTTTCATTAACAGAAGAAATGCGAACACCTTTATGTCGCCACAGCAGAGATGGATGGCGAAAGCCCAAGAGAGGTGGGTAACAGAACTTGGTGACAGAGGGTCATTTTCCCAGTGTGGCATCACAGATGTGAATGCAAAGAGGGACAGGTTGCCATCATATATATGATGTTTATTTGCACCTTAAAATCAAAGAACTTACAAACAATATATAAGACACTACTGAATATTTAGAAGACCATTCAGTGAAAGCCTCAAAAAGCAAAGATGAAGCAGGGAAAGGCAGAAAGAAAACTTCTATTTTCATTTTTCTTAAATATTCCATTCTGGTTCCCCCAACCCCGTTTCTTCAAATGTCTCTTAACACGGGTGGGGAAGAGGGCCTCTTTTCAATATTTTCTTTTCCTTTTTCTTATTTCTTCACTTTTTTAATGCTTCTTAATTTTGGTGTCTTTTTCCACTTTCTAGGGTCAGAGAACAGAGAAAGCCTGCCTATGAGCTGAATCGGGAAGCCTGTGATGACTACAAACTTTGTGAACGCTATGCCATGGTTTATGGATATAATGCTGCTTACAATCGCTACTTCAGGCAACGCCGCAGAGCTGAATAAGATTGGAAAAATCTTTTTTGCTGGATCCTGGTGCCGGATTTTGTATCCCCTTGCATAGCATTACTAAAATATATAGACACATGCACAGTGCTTGTTTCCTACATATTTTTCTGTTGGGCTGCACCCTTCCTTCTTGCCCCCAGACTGATATGTACTGAAAATACAGAGTGTTAAGTTGTATGATTATTACATAATAAACTTCTGATTTGATACTTTCATTTTGGGAATCTAATTTCTTCCTAGAAAATGCTGAGGTATTTAAACCATGGCCCATCTAACACAGAATAGGAGATTCTGTTAATCTTGTGTTTAGTGTTGATTAAAAGCATAACTAGAATGCAAGAAACTTAGAAAGCACTCACCCAACTGCAATTTGTCTAGACATTTGCTACCTTTGACTCAGTGAATGATTGCTTCAACTATGGGCTATCCAGGGTTTTCCTATTCTGAGTTATGATCATTATAAGACTCACCACATTCATTTCTCATTCTCTTATGCATTAAGGTCAAAAAGAACTTCTGGATCAAAGTAAACCAGACAAAGGCAAAAAAGGAGGGGGGAGCAGAAGGGACAATTGAAAACAAATGGCAAGATGATACTTAAATCTAACTCTATGGGTACTCAAAAAGTTCATGAGAAAACAGAATTAAAATATTAGTTAATATTGATGCAAAAACAAGCTGAAATCCATGTGTGGTTTTTTCAATTTCCCATGAACTTTCTGAAGACCTCTCAAATCAATAATTACATTATATACAAATAGTCTAAACAATCCAATTATTTTTACTTCCATGTGTTATACATTTCACAGTGCATTTTTATTATTTGTGCTTAACACAGTAATTTTCAAGTTTAGATAATAAGAAAGATATCTCATACATTTATCCCATGTAGATTCCATTTCCTGTACTCTTCATTTTGGGGGGTACATCAATATTTCTATCTGGTTCATATCCCTTCTGCCTAAAGGGTTTCCTTTAATAATTCTGGCAGCACACATCTGCTGGTTTGTTTTTGCTTTTGTATGCTTGCCTTATTTTCACTATATATCAAATACTAAGTTGCTATATTCTTTCAATTATTTGAAGACTGGGATGTGGAACATCTGGCTCCCAGGCCAGATAAGGCCCATGAAATCATCTGGTCTCACCCTACCAAGGGAATTGCAGGTGGGACTTGAAATTCAATAAAATCTATAGCAAGCTAATTTTTAAGTTGATGATTTTGTATAGCCCGTGAATAATGTTATAAATATCCAAATGACCCTTGGCAAAAGAAGCTCCCAGTGCCAATTTCAGTAAGACATTCCACTGTCTCCTAGTTTACATTTTTTGGATATAAAATCTGTTGTCATCCTTCTTTTTGTTCCTCTGTATATATCATGCCTTTTATCTCTGGCTGCATCTAAGATTTTTCCCTTTACGATTGTTTCTGACCAAATTATGATTTACCTTGGTGTGATTTTCCTTCTTTTTCTTGTTCTTGAGCTTTAATTAGTTTCTTAGATTGCATTAAATTTAAAAACTTTTCAGCTATTATTTCTTCAAACATTTTCTCTTCCTTGCTCCTTCTATCCTTTGGAGGCTCCAATGACATACATGTTTGATCCCTTGAAATAATACTACAACTTCTGGATGTTATTCTCATTTTATAAAGTGTTTTTACTCTGTGTGCTCCACTTTTGATACTTTCTATTAATGTATCATCACATTAATCTGTTGTTAAAAAATTTTAGTTTATTTGTTAATCTACTGTTAATCTCAGCATATTTTTCATCTTGGACATTGTGGTTTTCATCATTAGAAATTTATTTTAAAAGTTTTTATATCCTTCATTTCTTTACTTATCTTTTATAAGATCTTTTTACCGTTACAACCATTTTAATTTTAATGTATGTATTAGGAATTTGCTTTGATTGGCTGATTGTTTCTATTCATATGGATAATAATTTCATATTTCTCTGAATTCCTACTCATCTTTTATTTTATGCCATACATTGTATGTTTTATCCACATGCTGAATATTCTTGTATTGTTTTTGCACTACTCTCTGAGATTCAGTTAAATCACTTAGAAAAAGCTTACCTCTTTCAAGTCTTACTTTTAAAATGGGACCAGAGCAGTATTTAACCTAAAGCATTCTGGGTATTATACCAAATGCCAATCAACCCTAAGTTAGTGACAGCCATTCTTTCCTCTATTCCTCTTGAGTAATTATTTTCCCCACATGTGTTTGCCGAGCAACTCTGTGAGGGAGTTCTCCACGAACATTCAGAGAGCTCTCTCTTCTATAGTATCTTGCCATGTGCACTATAGCATCTTATTCTCCCAGGCCTCTTAACTCCATCTCAACTCAACATGTCCACTGATCTTCACCTTGGTTTTCTCTCCCTGAGCCATGCCATGGAATCTCTCTTAACGCAATAAATGGAGGTAATTATAAGTCTTACTTTGGTTTTATTGCTATCTAACTATATCTACCATCTTTCATTGTTCAATGTCCAGTGTCTTGAAAGTCATTTTCTCATTATGTATTGTCTGTTTCTCCAGTTCTAAAAGAATGGTAAGTCCTATTCCTGAGATTGTTTCTTGGCTAAAAGCCTACTAAGTCAAACAAGATTATTTTGAATGGTTACCCCACCCTCAGAATTCTCCCATAAAATTGGCTGAGCTATTTGTTGCATTGCATCACTCTGCCTAGCCCTGTTTCCATTACTAATCTCATATGTCTGTCCCCAAATAAACCATCTGCACACAAATCTCTTAGTTTTAAAGTCTACTACCCAAGAAGCCAAATCTATGACAGTCATTCAGATGGTAACTAGCAGGATCAATGTCTTCTAGCTCCAGAGTTCTTGTTTAATCTATTACATAATATTAGATTCATAGTTTTGAATGGACAAAGTTCAGCAGCAATATAATTAAAGATTCTCATTTTATAGTTGAAGAATTTGAGAACTGAAAGTCTTAAATGACAATCCTAAGAACAAGTAATTCTATTCCCTGAAAAAAATTTTTGTGCTGTGATGTCATAACAATTTATTTAAGCCAATTTTTTTTTACTTTATTTAAGGTATACAAATTTCATGTATTTCACATAGATTCAGGAACATAGTGATATTTCCACCCAACATTCCCTCCTGCCCATGCTCCCACTCTTTTTCCTCCTCCCTCTCCTATTCCAACTCTTAATTTTTGCAAAGATCTATTTTCAGTTTACTTTATACTCATAAGATTAATCCTGAGGCTCTTGTCATGAGCAGCCAAGGTTATGGAAGCCTCTTGAGCTCACCAACTCTGATCTTATTTAGACAAAGCCATAGTCATATTGGAAGTTCTCTCCCACCTTCAGAGAAAGATACCTCCTTCTTTGATGGGATCTCACTCACAGAGATGTTTCATTTAGGAAGCCAAGACACTGTGGCAAAGTATGTTCTATATGTTATATCTGCCACAGAGCCTTGTGCTTTCCATGCCTTAAATGCTCTCATGGGCTCTTTAGCCAGATCCAAATGCCTTAAGGGCTGATTCTGAGGCCAGAGTGCTGTTTAGGGCATTTGCCATTCTATGAGTCTGCTGTGTATCCCACTTCCCATGTTGGATCATTCTCTCCTTTTTAATTCTATCAATTATTATTTGCAGACACTAGTCTTATTTATGTAATCCCTCTGACACTTAATCCTATCTTTTTGATCAATTATGAACTTAAACTGATCACTTTAACAAGATGGCATTGGTACATGCCACCTAGATAAGATTGAATTGGAATCTCCTGGCACGTGTCTAGCTCTACCATTAGGGGTAATTCCGAGTGAGCATATGCTGAACTGTACATCTCCTGCCTCTCTTATTCCCACTCATATTTAACAGGGATCATTTTTCGGTTAATTTTAAATGCCTAAGAATAATTGTGTGTTAATTAAAGAGACAAGAGCCTCGGGTGATTACTGACATCATAAATAAGAGTATCAGTTGTTAAATCAACAACGGGAATCACTGTGCACCTGCTCCCCATGTAGGATCTCTGTCCTTAATGTGTTGTACCATGTGAATTAACAGTAAAAGTACTACTCAAACAGTACTCTATACTTTGTGTGTCTGTGTGGGTGCAGTTTGTTGAAATCTTTACTTAGTATATACTAAGTTGATCTTCTGTATATAAAGATAACTGAAAATGAATCTTGATGAAGAATGGGATGGGAGAGGGAGTGGGAGATGGGATGGTTGCAAGTGGGAGGGAGGTTATGGGGGGAAAAGCTGCTATAATCCAAAAGTTGTACTTTGGAAATTTATATTTATTAAATAAAAGTTAAAAAAAGAAATTATAAAACAATAAATCTCCATAACAAACAAACTGAGAGAAAATGAAGAGAAAAAGGGAAACTATAAATAAAGAGATGTAAGAGACTGGTAAAAAAAAAAAAAAAAGATTAATCCTATGCTAAGTAAAGAGTTCAATAAATAGTATAAACAAAAAACAGTGTTCCTCAACAGCCAAGGCAAGGGCTGTAAATAATCATCAAATCTCAAAATGTCAATTTCACTCCTATATATTACCTTTTATGTACTCTATTAGTTATCACAGATCAGGGAAAACATGTTATTTGTCTTTTTGGGACTGGCTTATTTCACTAAGTATAATGGTTTCCAGTTGTATCCATTTTATTGCAAAAGAGAGGATTTCAATTTTTTTTTTACCATTGAGTAGTATTCCATAGTGTATATATGCCATAATTTCTTTATCCAGTCTTCAGTAGATGGGATATTTGGATTAATTCCATATCTTAGCTGTTGTGAACTGAGCTGCAATAAACATGGGGATACAGATCACTCTTTCATATGCTGATTTCATTTCATTTGGATAAATTCCCAGGAGTGGGATGGCTTGGTCATATGGTAGATCTATATTCAAATTTCTGAGGTATCTCCCTACTGTCTTCCATAATGTCTGCACCAGTTTACATTCCCACCAACAATATATTAGGATACCTTTTCCCCATATTCTTGCCAGTATTTATTATTTGTTGATTTCTATATGACAGACATTCTAACTGGGGTGAGGTGAAACCTCATTGTGGTTTTGATTTGCATTTCCTCGATGGCTAGTGATCCTGAGCACTTTTTCATGTGTCTGTTGGCCATCTGAATTTCCTCGTTTGAAAAATGTCTGTTCAAGTCCTTTGCCAATTTCTTAACATGATTGTTTGTTTTGTTGAG